AGGCGCCGAGCCATGAATTATATCTTAATAAAGCTACTTTTAAAATATCAAGATGTTTCAGGAAAGCAAATTTGACAGGAATATTTAAGCTGAACAAGAAGAAAGGACTCAGATTATCCAATCTGGAAGTAGAGCATTAGAGTCCAAGCCTGTGACTAATGTGGGACTAGCTTCAGATAAGTGATAGATGAGAATTGTGGAATTGGCAGGGATGGGGTGGCAGCATTTAATAGACATATATGGGACAAAAGTAACTCCACAGAAACTTACAGGTGAGCACCAACTTAAGGAGAGTGGTCTGGTTTGTGGGGAACAGGAGAGGGAGTGATTGGTCTTATGTTTGAGGTTTTGTGTTCCTGTCCTCTAGCTGTGCCAAAGAGCTACAACCTTTTCCTAAGATATTCCTGGAAGTCCTTTCAGAGGGCCTTACCTCTGACTGATGGGCTGAAATCTTGTCCCTAGAGCCTGGGTCAATCCCACTTACCTGGAAAGCTCCAAAGTGGGATTCTTCCTTCTGCTGGACATTCTTCCTCCAACCTGAGAATGAGGTCTGGTTTAGTAACCTGCTGCCCTATTAATGAGAAATGACAGATATACTGACTTGGTCTTCAGCCACTGAGACAGAAGCAGTTGCAGTTTGGGGGCAGCACAAGGGACCTATCACTGACACAATGATAAAGTCAAACCATTTAACCTGGGCTTTGAGTTCACAAACACCTTGTCACAAGAGATAAAGGGGGGGACTGAGAAAGAAAAAGCCCTCCTTTGGATACAATAATCATAAACAGCAAAATTACCTGAAGAAGCCATCCTTACCCACGGAGACTAGGTTGCTGTAGGTCTCTAGCATCACGTCTCTATACAGGGTCCTCTGTGGAAGGTTCAGGTACTTCCACTCCTCCTGGGAGAAATCTACAGCCACATCCTCAAATGTCACTAGTCCCTGTAATGATACATTCCTTTTATTTTAAAGTGCTGACCACTGGGTGATAAAGATAGAATGTAGGGGAATTTCTGATTGGGTTTCCAGTTCATCATAATGTCTTAATACTGGATGTCTATTTCATATCAAGTTTGTGACCTACCTTGTGGAAGAATCACAAATTATTGTGAGAGTACTATTCCATTAATATCAAGTCATATGATATTAGCACAAGAATAGACAAATAGTGCAGGGGAACTAAAAAGAGAACCTGACCATGTATATATATCTGATTTATGACAAAGTTGGCACAGTAAAGCAATTGGCAAAAAATGATCTTTTCAGTAAATGTAGATAGGCTATTGTATATCTATATAGGAAAAAATGAAATTAAGCCCCTCTCACCAACAAAAATCAGCTACAGGTAAACTGTAAATCTAATATGAGAGGTAACCAATAAAGTATCCATAAAATAATATGGAAAACACACTGTGGTGCAGTCATTATGGAAAACAGTATGGCAGTTCCTCAACAAAATAAAAATAGAACTATCACATGATTCAACAATCTCGCTAGGGGTATACATCCAAAGGAAATAAAATTAGTATGTTAAAAAAAATAATACAGGAAAATGTTTTCATAACTTTGGGATAGAAAAAGAATTCTAAACAAAGGCATGAAAAGCACCACTCATAAACAAAAAGACTTGTTAAGTGTTACAAGAGTAAAAGTACTGCCCGTAGCTCCATGGTTAGGGCACCAGCCACATAACACCAAGGCAGGCGGGTTTGAACCCAGCCCAGGCTTGCTAAACAACAATGACAACTGCAATAAAAAAAACAGCCAGGTGCTGAAGCAGCTGCCTATAGTCCCAGCTACTTGAGAGGCTGAGGCAAGAGAATAGCTTAAGCCCAGGAGTTAAGGTTGCTGTGAGCTGTGACATCACAGCACTCTACCAAGGGTGACATAGTGAGACTCTGTATCAAAAAAAAAAAAGTACTACAGTAAAAAGGCAAACTACAGATGGAGAGATTATTAGCAATATTAATGGGGAATAAAGGGATCTTATCTGGAATACATAAATTAACCTCTACAAATCAGTAAGAAATATACAAACAACCCAGAAGAATAGACAAGCAAACAGGTACTTCACTACAAAAGGAAAGTCAAGTGACCTATGAACATAAGAAAATGTACTCAACCCCATTAGTACTCAGATAAATGAAAATTTAAGCCATATAGACACACCAATATGCACTTACCAAAAAGGTTATAATCAAGCAGACTAAAATACCACAACACAATGTTGAAATGGGAACTCTTATATACTGTTAGTAAGAATGTAAGCTGGTGTGATAGTTTCGTGAACAGTTTGGCCTTATTTACCAAAGTTAATGATTTGTATACCACGAGTTAGTAATTTCGTGAACAGTTTGGCCTTATTTCTGGCACTTACCAGAAAGGTTATAATCAAGCAGAGTAAAATACCACAACAGTGTTGAAATGGGAACTCTTATATACCGTTAGTAAGAATGTAAGCTGGTGTGATAGTTTCGTGAACAGTTTGGCCTTATTTACCGAAATTAATGATTTGTATACCATGAGTTAGTAATTCTACTTCTAGGTACACACCTTAGAGAAAATTACTGTTCTAGAAAACAAGTGCAGAGATGCTCACAGCAGCACTATTTCTGATACTAAATCATGGAAAAAATCCAAATGTCCATCATATATAAAATGTCCAACATATATAAAATTGTGGCACAATGATTCAATGGAATGCTGTGTAGTAACAAAAATGAATAAATCACAACTGCACGGTGTGAAGCAGGTGCACTGTATGGTGGTTACCAACTTGTCTGAGTCCAGTGAGACAGAATACCCCTACGCACAAGTAACATGGAGCATGTTTATTACTTAAAGATAGCAGAAAAGGACAATAGAAACCTAGGATGCGTTCTGTGTGTACCCTACTTGCACTGCAACTGACAGACCCCCCCAAAATCAGCCTTCCTTGACTTTTATACCTTGAGGGCCACATGGCACACTAGGCTGAGGCACTGAGGACATTCATTTTCCAAGAGGTGACCAGAACAGAGCTCAGGCTATTTTAGCCAGCTCTTCCCTTATCTCAAGATGTTATGCTGCCTACACATGATACAGTTATTCTTGAGAACTACAAGTAAGGTGGGAGAACTAGATCAGTCCAAGGCTACCCAGAGAACTGTCTTGCACATGTCCAACATAGATGAAGGTCACAGATATACTTATGAGCAAAAGAAACAAGAAACAAAAGTGTACATATTGCATGATTCTATTTATATGTAGTAAGAGAACAGGTAAGGCTAATCTATAATGTTAGAAGCCAGAATAATAATTATTTTGTGTGTGGCCATGACTTTGGGACAGGGTATGGGAGAGGATTCTGAGGTCCTAATTATGGTGGCTACACCACGTGTTCACTTTGTAAAAATTCATCAAGATATACACTTTTAAATTGTACACTGTGTATGCTATTCTTTTTTTTTCTTTTTTTTTTTTTTTGAGACAGAGCCTCAAGCTGTCCCCCTGGGTAGAGTGCCATGGCATTACAGCTCACAGCAACCTCCAACTCCTGGGCTCAAGCGAGTCTCCTGCCTCCGCCTCCCAAGTAGCTGGGAGTGTATGCTATTCTTAAATGTACCTCTTTATACATAAAAATTATTTTTGACAAAATCAGAGAGGTAATTCAATGGAAAATAGGATTTCCCATCTCACAAATAGTTCTGGAACAATCAGATATCTATAGTCAAAAAAAGAACCTCTGGCTCAGTGCCTATAACTCAGTGGTTATGGGCTGGTGGGTTCGAACCCAGTGCGGGCTAGCTAAACAACAATGACAACAACAACAAAAAAATAGCCAATTGTGGCAGGTGCCTGTAGTCCCAGCTACTTGGGATGCTGAGGCAAGAGAATTGCTTAAGCACAAGAGTTTGAGGGTGCTGTGAGCTGTGATGCCACAGTACTCTACCAAGGGCAACACAGTGAAACTCTGTCTCAAGAAAAAAAAGAAAACCTCAATTAATACCTCCAACATATATAAAAATGAACTCAAAATGGATTATAGACCTAAACCTATAATATCTCTAAATTATGGGAGAAAATCTCTTTAACCTTGGTTTAGACAAATATTTCTTAGATGTGACATCAAAATCCAAAAGATACTATGAAGAGACTGAAAAGACAAGCCATGGGGTGGAAGAAAATACTTGCAAATCAAATAACTAGCAAAGAACTTGCTTTGAGAATATTATAGGAAACACTCAAAACAAAACAAAAAACAGGCAAAACAGAGATACTTCCCCATAGAAGATATACATATCAATTAAGCCCATAAAAAGATGTTCAAATAAGCAAATAAGCACATAAAAAGATGTTCAATATCATTAGTGATGAGAGAACTGCAAATTAAAACCAAAATGAGGTACTACAACATACCTATTAAAATCAAGGAAAAAACCTAACAGTAATAAGTGCTGTGAGGATGTGGAGCAACTGCACCTCTCCTATCATAAGTAGGAATGCAAAACAGTACACAGCCACTTTGAAAAACGGTTTTCCAGGTGTTTATGAAGTTAAGCATATACTGCCATGTAATCCTACAACCTCACTCCCAGATGTATTTATCCCAATGAAAACTTAATGTAAACTCAAAAACCTGCACAGGAACATTTATATAGCAGATATATATATATATATATATTTTTTTTTTTTTTTTGCAGTTTTTGGCCGGAGCCGGGTTTGAACCTGCCTCCTCTGGTATATGGGGCCAGCACCCTACTCCTTTGAGCCACAGACACTGCCCTATACCAGCTATATATATATATATATATATATTTTTTTTTTTTGGAGACAGGAGCCTCAAGCTGTCCCCTTGGGTAGAGTGCTCTGGCACCACAGTTCACAGCAACCTCCAACTCCTGGACTCAAGTGAGTCTCCTGCCTCAGCCTCCCAAGTAGCTGGGACCACAGGTGCCCGCCACAATGCCCAGCTGTTTTTTGGTTGCAGCCATCATTGTTGTTTGGCGGGCCGGGCTAGATTCAAACCCGCCACCTTGGGTGTACGTGGCTGGCGCCTTAGCCACTTGAGCCATAGGCGCTGAGCCAGCAGCTATATTTTTAATCACCAAAAGCTGGAAACATACCAAATGCTTTTCAACCAGTGAATGAACAACCTGGAATCCATACAATGTAATATCACTCAGTAATAAAAATGAAATAACTACAATACATGCAACAAGGTTAATGAACCTCAAGTGTATTATGGTAAGTGAAAGGAGCTGGACTCAAAAGTCTACACACTATTATGATTCCATTTATAGAATATTACTGGAAAGGCAAAACTACAAAGACTGAAAATACATCAGTGATTGCCAAAGGCCAGGGTTTAACAAGGGTTTAATTATAAAGAGTACACACAGGGAGGTGAAAAAACTCCTCTATATCTTCATTATGGTGGTGGTAACATAACTGTATGGGTTTGTCAAAATTTGGAGAAGTGTACATTTTAAAAAGTCCATGTTACTAATGTCCTTCTAGATAATCTAGAATAACTGCATCTGTATAAATCCAAATCTCTCCATATATCCTCCAAAAAACTATACAGATCAACATGAACATATAAAATCACATATAACCTATACCTTCAGTATAACTATAATTATAACAGCAAATAGAGACTACTATAAATGTCTAATTACCTATAAGTTAAAAAAAATGTCAAATTCCAGCTCAGCTGTCTTTCAAACTCCTGCTATGAACTTTTCTAGAATATGAGGATGGTCTGACAAAACAGCAAATAGAACAGGACGGGTAGAGAGCCTAAGTGTGAGCTGAAATCAGGCTTAGAAAGATAAAATTTACCATAAGTATGTAAAAGCAAATTGGTCAGGTATAGGAGCACCAGTTATCAGAAAGGTATATGGAACCCAAGGTGATAGTCACAAAAAGGCACTGCTTCTGAGGGAGAAGAGGGTAAAAGG